ATATTTAAGTGTGGGTGGGTGGGTGTGTGTTCAATATACCGTCGTGGGCAGGTTCGTTAAAAATGCCTGAGAGAGGTACGGATGACTCGAGAACCGTGATAGGAAATATCAGGCTTGAGATTGTCTGACGCTGGGGTAGTTAGGAAAGTAACCAGCCGTGGGAACTAGGGTGATCAGCGCAGTACAGCGGATTGTTTTGGATGGGATGTATTGAAGGAACGGGTGACACGCAATTGTAAAAGATATTGTCAGGTTGGGTGCTGAGGGACTGTTGGATGATGCGGGTTTGGTATGGCTGTTGTATTTTTTTTTTAGGTGTTGTGGTGTGTGGGTGAGTGTCTTGAGTGTGAGTGAGTGTGTGAGTGAGTATTGAGTGAGTTGGGGGGGTGGGTGGGGGGGGGGGTGTGGCGGAAGTGGGGGGGCGGGGGTGGGGGGGGGGGTGGGGGTGGGGCGCGTGTTTTTGTAGCTCTTTTATTAGTGTGTCGTTTGGCGGTGTGGGGGGTGTGTGGTGTGTGTGTGTTTGTGTCCGTGTGTGCTGTGTGTGTGTGTGTTGACGTGTGTGTTAGTTTGTGTGAGTGGGTGTGTGTGAGTAGTGTGTGTTGTGTGGTGTGTGTGTGTGTGTGATGTGTGAGTGAAGTGGGTGATGTGTGTGGGTTTGTGTGTGTGTGTGTGTGTTGTTGTGTGTGTGTGTGTGTGTGTGTGTGTGTGTGTGTGTATGTGTGTGTTGTGTGGGTATGTGTGTGGGAGTGTGTGTGTGATGCTGCTGTGTGTGGTGTGTGTTTGTGTATGTGCTTTGTGTGTGTGTGTGTGTGTGTGTGTGTGTGTGTGTGTGAGTGTGTGTGTGTGTGTGTGTGTGTGTGTGTGTGTGTGTCGTGTGTGAGTGTGGAGGTTTGTGTGTGTGTGTGTGTCGTGTGTGTGGAGGTGAGTGTCCGAGTGTGTGTGTTTGTGTGTGTGTGAGTGTGTCGTTGTGTCGTAGTGTGTTTGTGTGTGTGTGTGTGTATATGTTTGATGGTGTGTTTGTGTTGTGTTTGTGTGTGTGTGTGAGTGCTGTGTGCTTGGTGTGGTGTGTGTGTGTGTTGCGTGTGTGTGTGTGTGTGGAGTGTGTGGTTTTTGAGTGTGGTTAGTGTGTAGAGTGGTGAGTCGTGTGTGAGAGGGGGCGGGGGGGGGGGGGGGTGGGTTACGGGGGGGGGGGGGGGGGTGGGTTTGTTGTGGGTGGTGTGAGTTTGTGTGAGTGTGCTGTGTGTGTGTTGTGTGTGCTGTAGTGTGTGTGCTGTGTGTGTGTTGAGTCGTTGTTTGTCTTGTGATGTGTTGGTGTGTGTGTGTGTGTGTGGTGTGTTTGTGGTGTGTGTGTGTGGGTTGTAGTGTGTGTGTCGTGTGAGTGTGTGAACGTGGGTGGGTTAGTGTGTGTAGAGTACGATGCTCGAATCTGTGGTTTGATGTGTGGAGTGTGTGTAGTGTGAGTGTGATGTGAGCTCGTGTGTGAGAGTGTGTGTGAGTATGTGAGTGTGTGAGATGTGTTTCGCTGTGTGTGTGTTTGAGTGTGTTGTTAGTGTGTCTGTGTTAGTGTGTGTTTGCTGTGTGAGGGTTCAGTTGTGGTGTTGTCGTGTTGTGTTCTGTGTTCTGTTTGTGTGTCGTGTGTGTGTGTGATTTGGGTAATGTATGGATGGTATGGCTGTGTGTGGGGTGGTCATGGTTTGTTTTCGTGTGTGTTGTGTAGTGTGTGACTTTGTGTGTGTGTGTGTCCGTACGTGCTGTGTGTGTGATGTGTGTGGTGTCGTGTGTGTGTGAGTTTGGGTGTGGTGTGTGTGTGAGTCGTGTGTGGTGTGTGTTGTGTGTGTGAGTGTGTGTGTGTGTGTGATATGTGGGTCAAGGATTGAGTGTGTGTGTAGCTGTGCTGTGTGCTCAAGAGTGTGGAGTGTGT